GTCCCGCGCGTCGTCGGTCATCTCGGACCTCGTCCGCCGCGCGTCTACGACGTCGATTGTCAGCCGCATCATCACCGTGACCAGCCGCAGCAGCTCGCCGCCTGCGTCACCGACCAAGGCTTCGGCGCCCGAGTTTGAGGAGATCGAGGAGCCCGCCGCCGCTGCTGATCTCGCGGCGGCTCCGGCCCACGACGAGGCTGACCGCGAGGCCGCCGAGGACGAGATCATGTCCTTCTTTTCGCTCAACCGCCGGCGCACGCTCGAGCGGTACGAGCCCAAGAAGGTGATCGTGCCCATCACGCTCGCGTCGCCCACGTCAGCGTCCGGCGGGTCGCCCGCATCGCCTACCTTCTCCGTGTCGTCGCTGCGCCGGTCCGGGTCGCGCATGAGCTACATGGGCTCGGCGTCGAGCTCGTACGGCGGCGGCAGTGGCAACATGCACAACCGGTCCTCGACCAGTCTCCGCACCACGACGTCGACGCTCGCGCCCGTCCAGGACACCGACGAGCCCGAGGCCGCCGTCCCCAAAGTCCCGACCATCCCGCTCGCGACGCCCGCGCCCACGCCCATGGTCCCCGCGCTCACCTCGTTTGCGCGCCCGCTCACGCCGCCGCCGACCGCGTCGCAGTCCATGACGTCGTCGTTCGCGTCGACGCCCGGCAGCACCGCGACGCGCGGCCGGATGGCTGATGCCGCCGCAATGCAGCGCCCGCCGTCGCCGCCCGCCCCAGCGCTCGCGGCCGACGCCGTGTCGCCAATGCGCCAGCGCCGCCTGAGTTCCGGCAGCAACGGCAGCCACCGCCGCGGCGTGTCCGTCGAGGCGACGAGCGACGGCGTCAGCGCGTTCGCGTCGCCCGCCACGTCGACGATCCTCGCGCCCGCTGCCGTCAAGCCGCAGGCGCCGTCCCCGCCGCCGTCGCCGACCGCGTCCCGCGCACTCTCCCGGCCCACGGCCACGGCTGCCGCCGGATCCGGCGCCGCGTCCATCATCTCGCGCAGCTTCGTCAGCACGAGCACCGGGTCGCAGCGGCCGCTGACGCTCGGGTACTCGACGATGCTCGAGGTCGATATCCCGAGCAGCAGCACCAAGTCGGTCGCGGCGCGGTCCACTGAGCACGGCGTGCAGTCATCCCCGCCCCTCTCGCCAATCCCCTCGCCGCCCGCCGCCACGGCCGCCGCGCCCGGCGCCCGCATGCACGTGCAGGTGGTCCCGACGAGCCCGCCGCCGACGGCCACGCAGCACGTCGTGTACGTGGACCGCGTGGTGCTGACGGCGGCCGAGGACGAGGCGCAGCGCGTGCGCCAGGCGAATGCGCAGGCGCAGGCACGGCGGCGCGGGTCGCCGCCGCTGTCCGCGGCGTCCACGACCATCAACCACTACCATTTGTCGGCGGCGCCCGCCCTGCCGCCGCAAGCCGCCGAGCCCGAGCGCCGCAAGAAGAAGAAGAAGGGCGCCGGCCGGCTCTGGGCTATGCTCAAGCGCGTGTTCCGCAAGCCCAGCGGGAACGCGCGGAGTGTTCGGATCGAGGTGCCGCGCGCGACGGCGGCGGACTAGTTTTGTGTGTTTTGTGTGTTCCATGCCCTCCCCTCCCACCACCCCCCTTTTTGTGTCCTAGCATCTGTAGTCTCTCGCTGCGCAGCAATAGAAGTGCCTCTCCATTCACTCACCCGCACGAGTCGCCAAGTGATGGCTGAAGGCAGCGACGACGCGCGCCGACACGCGCGTCGCCCAGCTCGAGTCGCGCCGCGCCACAGCCACCCATGAGATTGACTAGCGTAAGGTGATATATATGGGGTGTTGAAAGCTAATACTACTACCTCTGCGAGCCACGTCCTCATGCGGCCGCCTTGTAAGCCTTCTCGATCTCGGACTTATACTTGTTGTTGATGTTGCGGCGCTGGAGCTTCATGGCGGCCGTGAGCATCTCGTTCTGGGGCGTCCACTCCTCGTCGGCGAGGATGACGGCCTTGGGGTACTCGGCGGGCGCGAGGCCGTTCGACTTGGCGATGGTCGCCAAATCCTTGACGATGGCAGCGCGCACGCGGTCGTCGTGGCACAGCTGCTCGACCGACGTGCTGTCGACATCGATGCCGAGCTTGCCGGCGAGCGTCTTGACCATGGGCGGGTGCGGGTTGCCGATCGCGATGGCGAACGAGCGCTCCGGGTCGGCGTAGATGCACACCTTGGCGAGGTAGTGACAGGCAGCGTAGATGGACTCGAGCTTCTCGAGGGCAATGTACTCGCCGTTGGACAGCTTGACGAGGTTCTTGCGGCGGTCAATGAGCGACAGCGTGCCGTCCGGGTTGATGCGGCCGACGTCGCCCGTCTTGAACCACCCGTCCTCGGTCATGGCCTCGCGCGTCAGCTCGGGCTGCTTGAAGTACCCGCGCATGATCGAGGGCCCGCGCAGGAGCACCTCGCCCGTCGGCGGCTCGGCCGTCGCCGAGTAGCCCGCCTCGGGCACGTCGATCAGCTTGTACTCGACGCACGGCATGGGCGCGCCGACGTTCTTGGTCGCGAACCCGAACTCGGGCGTCAGCACCGCCGTCAGACCCGCCGACTCGGTGGCGCCGAACCCGGCGATCAAAGGGCACAGGATCGACGAGATGAACAGCTGGGTGTCGGCCGACAGCGGGGCGCCGCCCGAGATGGCGAGCTTGAGGCGGCCGCCCGTCTCCTGGCGGATCTTGTTGAAGATGAGCGAGTCGGGGACGAACGAGTACTTTGACCCGCGCAGCAGCTGCATCTGCTTGAGCTTGAGGGCGGCGTTGACCGTGGCCTGGACGGCGCGCGGGAGGGAGCGCAGCTTGGACTCGATGCCCTTGGTGATGGCGCCCCAGACGGCGGGCACCCCCGCCATGACGTCGGGCTTGAGCGTCTTGAGGTCGCCGTGGCAGTTGCGGCAGCTCGAGTCGAGCAGGGTCTTGGGGTTGCCGTACCCGAGGCGCGCGCCCTTGTAGATGGCGTAGCACTCGACCATGAGCTCGAGCACGTGGGCGAGCGGCAGGTACGCGAGGTACACGTCGTCGGGGTTGACGAGCTCGCCGACCGACCCGTCGGCGCCCGCCATGGCCGCCAGCATGTTGCCGTGGGTCAGCTCGACGCCCTTGGGGTTGCCCGTCGACCCGCTCGTGTACATGATGCACGCGAGGTCCGTCGGCTCCGGGTGCGTCGCGTCGATCGGGTTGAGCGTGCCCTCGGCGATCAGGTGCTCGAGCGAGACAACGGTGAGGTGCGGGGCGGCGGCCTTAAGGGCGTCGAGCTGGTCGGCGGGCACCTCGCCGTCGTACACGATGACGCGCAGGTGCGTCGCCTTGGCGGCGACCTTGGTGATGATCGGGATGTGGTGGTTGTTGCAGAAGACGGCGGGCACCTCGGCCTCGTTGAGCGAGTACAGCAGACCGTCGGCGCCGAGCGTGTCGTAGGCGGTGGTGATGGTGATGGCCTGCGAGTAGCACCCGTTGGCGACGAGCGTCCACTCGCGCGAGGTCGCGGCCCACACGCACAGGCGGTCGACGCGCGGGCGCAGGCCGAGGCGCACGAGCCCGGCGCCGATCTTGGCGGCGGTGATGGCGCACTCCTCGGCGGTCATCCACTCGTAGGGCCCGAGCTCAAAGTAGGTCCACTCCTTGGTGGTCACGACCTGCTTGCCGTCGACGACCTTGGTGATCTCCTTTTGCTCGCGGTGCGTCTTGTACAGGCGGCGGCGGCCGAGCATCTGGCGGTGCGGGTTGTAGGCGCGCGCGTACGGCATCAGGTCGGCCAGCGTGCGCAGCTCCATGCCCTCGACCAGCGACTTTGGCCGCTGCAGCAGGCCGTCGGCGGCCAGGTAGTGCCGGATCGTCGGCGACTCGCCGCCCGCCGGGTGCTCGCTCGGGATCGACAGGATCTTGCCCGCGGCCTTGCTCGTCGACGCCGAGCCCTGCGCGTACACGGTGGCGGTGGCGGCGGCGGCGACCGTCGTCGCGGCGGCGGCGATCATGCCGGGGGACAGCACGTTGGATGCCATGGTGGTGGTTGCGTCTAGTAGCAACGGAGGGCGACGTCGTCGTCAGCTTGCCCTCTCTGTCTTCATCGTCGAGTCCATGGCGCGTTGCATGCAGTACCAGCTTCGTGGCGGTGTGGGCTACGTTGGATAGGGGATCGGTGCCCTCGTGTGTTGGGAGAGCGTTGGGGAGGCGGGGGCGGACGCCGACTTATATACGGCCGCAGGGAGGGAGGGCGGGTCGGCGGGCGGCGACGCAGGGAGACACGCCCGTGATGGCGAGGGCCCCGCTTGCGTTGCGCGCCTCGTTTCTCCGTCGCCGACGGGCGCCGGTCGACGTCACTCCCTTCCCTCGCCGGCACCGACGCGCTCCCTATCTCGCGCGCGCCTTGAACACGGGCGCCCGTGGCTGGCTAACGATTACGGCCAAGCCCTGCCCAAGGCACACACACGCGCGCGCTCGACTGCATCATCGCCTCCCGTCCCGTCCCGTCCCTCCCGACCGCGTGCGCCATCCGGCTCGGCGCAGCCGTCGGGGCCGTGCTTCCGCGCGTCGCCGCGATCACGCGGGGCAGGGCGACCGGCCCCCGCGAGTTCATGCGTGCGTGTCCCGCTCTTCATGCGCGCGCGGGGGTGGGGCCAGGACCCCTGTCCACGCCATCGCATGGCGCCGGGGCCTCCTGCAGGACGGGTCCGCGCGGGCCCCGTCACCGCGTTCCAGGATCAGCGAGGGCTCGCCGTGGTCTCTCAACACACACCATGCTCACCGCGACGCCGCGAGGATTGCGACGCGATGGGCTAGCGAGCTCGACCGACAGGAACAACGGCGCTTGCGAGTTCCGGTGATGGGAACGCGTGCGCGGCGGGCAGCGGGGGAGTGACATCAGCGGCGCGAACTAATGAAATGGTGGCGCAGCCACGGCAAGGTAACGTCATGTCCTCGCTCTGATCTGAAACGGACCTGAAACAGCAACGCTACGGTTTGTGGACGGTCATTCACCTGTCAATGTCAAGGGGGCTGTAGCTCAGTGGTAGAGCGTCTGCTTTGCATGCAGAAGGCCTCGAGTTCGATCCTCGACTGCTCCACTTTTCTTGTTCGTACTTTTGCCCCTGGATCATCGCAAGCAACCGCACGGACCTGACCAACCCGGCCGGCCCGCAGGGGACCAAGACCGGCGGCTTTGACGCACCGAGCCGACGAAGACCCATGAACTTTCTCCACCTCCTTTGCGGCAGATCACTTAACGCTCGACACTGATCGGCCATCGAGCGCCACTGGCGCACCGCGTAACCTCTGACGCACTGGCGCCACAGGCCATCCGAGTTTCGCGGCTCACGGATCCTTGGCCACCGTGCCCCGCGACCACGGCCACGGCCATATAAAGCCAGCGTGTCTCTCCTCCCGCAACCCTGCAAACGGCTGGCCGTCCCACGCAATCATCATCATGCGCTCGATCCTCGTCTCCGTCCTCCTCGCCATCCTGGCCGCGGCCATGGGCGTCAACGCCCGCTTCGGCCAAGAGAAGCCCTCGATCCTCGACGAGGTCGGCGCGCTGTCCAAGCTGCCCGGCGTGCCCGCCGACGGCCGCTTCAACCAGCTGCAGGCTAGCCTGATCAACGCGCTCCTTGCCGCTGGACCGGCGTGCGGCGTCGCGACCGCCGCGGACGAGGTGCGCTTCACTCGACCGCTACCCATCACCCTTCGCCATCGCTGACCCGCCCTCTCCTCCACGATCCAGATCCTCGACCGGTGCAAACAATTCGGCTGTACATCCACCGCACTCCCGCTCGCGCGCAAGCTCATGGCCCTCGAGAAGAACTTCAACCCGTTCAACGACGGCGCCGCTCCGAACCTGTGCGACGACGCGGTACTGCCCAAGTCGCCCGAGCTGCGCTGCATCGTGCCCGCCATCGACCCCGCCGCGGGCGGCAAGGGCGGGATCTCGGCCGCCGAGTACAATGCCAAGGCCGCCGCGCGGCTGCAGGACGCGCTTGCGGGCCGCGTCACCGCCGCGGCGTGCGCGGGCAAGTCAGTCCGTCAGCTGGCGGTGGATCTTGGGCTCAGGGACTGTGTTGGTTGCGCGCAGCTCGCTGCGGGCGGGTCGACTGTCACGGCCACTGCAAGCGCGACGGCGACGGCCGCACCTGGCACCGAAACGTGTGCGCCCGCGCAGACGGTGACGCGCACGGTCACCGTGACCGTGGACGCGGCCACGACCACGGCCGACTCGCTCAGCCCGACGGATGCGGCGTGCCCGCTGCGCAAGACGGCGACCGTGACCAAGACTGTGACCGTCGACGCTCCCGCTCGCACCTGAGCTGCCGCTGAAATACATGAGATTCATTCAATGACGCCCGTGGTGGTGCTCATTGGTCTTGAGCACCTTCCCCAGCTTGCCCGCGATCGCGCGCGGATCCCACCCGAGCCCCTTGACGCGCGCGATCCCCGGCCACCGTGCCATCCACGCCATGTCGAGCCCGCGCTCCACGAGCTTGCCGTCGCGGACGTACGCGACCTCGACCGCGCCGCCGCCATCGTCCTTCATCTCGCGGCGGCCCGAGCCGTTGTCGTCCACGACCTGGTGCAGGAACGCGCGCGTGCGGCGGTAGAACCACGTTGCGTCGCGCGAGAACGGGAGCGCGAGCGGGAAGATGTGGACCTGGTGCTCGTGCACGTCGTGGACCAGGACGGGCGGCGCGCCGGGGATCCGCGCGAGGTTCGCGGCGAGCAGGACGTTCGGGTCGAGCAGCAGCTCGTCGGTGCCCGTCGAGATGTAGATGGGCGGGAGCGCGGGGGCGCCGGCGCGCCCTTGGTCCACGACGGCCGAGACGAGGTGCTCGGACGCCGTCATCTCGGCGTGGTCCGCGCGCCCGCAGTACATGGACACCGGGTCGATGGTGCGGTCCGGGCCGCCCGTGTGTAGGAAGTCGTAGTCGAGGTTCTGCGTGTAGCTCGGCAGGTCCTGCGCCATGTCCGACCACGGCGAAATGAGCACCGCGCCACCCGGCTGTGCGTACCCGTGGTCGCGCAGGAACAGGAGCAGGGAGATGGCCATGTTCCCGCCCGCGCTGTCGCCCATCACCGTGATGTACTCGGGCGCGATGCCCTCGGTCTCGGTCAGGTACAGGTACGCGGCCACGGCGTCGTGCAGCGCGTCGGGGAATGCGCATTCGGGCGATAGGCGGTACTCTCTACGGGACAGGCGAGTGAGCGAACGTGCCGTGTAAAAAGTGCAAGGGAGCGTACACGCTGAAGACGCGGCGGTCGACGGCGCGGACCAGCGGGCCGAGCAGCGGGCGGTAGCTCGCGACGGTGCAAAAGACGAACGCGCCGCCGTGAAAGTAGAGCACGACGCGTTTCGGGTCGCACGTCGGGGTCTCCGGGGTCATCCACTCGCCCGTCACCTTCCACGGCGAGGCGAGGTCGCCGCGAGGGTAGCGTGTCGGGAGCGACGAGCGGGCCACCACGGCGTCGCCGACCTTCTTGCTCTGCGACGGCGGCGCCACGACGCTCGCGGGATCCTTGCCCTCCGGCACGACCTCGAGCTTCGCGGTCCACTCGCGCGGCTCCAGCTTGATCCCGCGGAGCTGGGACATGATCACGCTCCCGCCGAGATTGACCGCCGCCGCCATAATCGCCCGAAGCTGCGGGATCGTGATCTCCTGGCGCTCGAGGAAGCTGCGCATCGTGCGGATCACCGAGTTGACAAGGCGTGACCGGTTCGGCCGGTCGGGCGCTGCCGCGAGCGACTGTAGAAGCACGGGGAACTGCCGCATGCCGATCTTGAACACGTCGCGGACCACGTCGCGCGAGAGACCGCTCAGTGGAGACGGAGGGTCTTTGTCTGGCGGCGGCGAGCGGTTCAGGTGCAGCGGGGTTTGCGAGAACCGCCGCGCCGCGTGAGAGGCGACACGGGCGCGCGAAGCAAGTGCAGGGCGAGCAAGGCGGGTATACATGTTCATTCGAATGGCATTGCAGAGAGTTGTTTCAACTCGTTGTGCGGGACTGTTGGGGTTGGTAGAAAGGGAGGAGGGGAGCCGTCACGCGGGGGCGACCATCGCGTCGCGCGCACGCCGATCACTCACACAATCACTCGCTCTATTCGTCTAGCTGCACAGGTCGAGATCGGGGATCAAAACCTGGTCACCGCCGATGCACGGAGACCAGCCGTTCATGCCGCCCTTGACTTTGCGGATCCCGGGCCACCGCGGAAGCCAGGCAGCCTCGAGCCCGCGGCCGTTGATGTGGCCGTTCTGGATCAGCGTCACCTGGTACCCGGGCGTGTCGTTACTGGCGGGGACAACGTGGTTGACGAAATGCGCGAACCGCTGGTGGAACACGGCCGCGCCCTTGACGTTCGGCGTCATGAACGGGAAGATGTGGACCTCGTACTCGAAAATGTCGTGAACGACGACACTCGGCCCGCCGAACATGCGGATCAGGCAGCTGCCGTACAGGATGTGCGCGTCGAGCATCATCTCGTCGCCGCCCGACACCATGTACGTCGGCGGCATCGTCTGGAAGTGGCTGCCCGGGTCGCAGATCGGCGACACGAGCCGCTCCGTCTTGGCCATCGCCTCGCGCTCGTCCGCCGTGCGGTGCGCGCCCAGGTACATGGCCACGGCGTCGAGATTCGCGCCGCCCTCGGCGTGCTTGCTGAAGCCACCGAGAATGTCGTAGACGAGGTGCTCTTTCTCGCTCGGCAAGTCGTGCGTCATGTCGACCCACGGCGAGATGAGAACTTGGGCCGCGGGCGTCGGTAGCTGCAGGTCGCGGAGGAACATGGTCAGGATGCTCGCGAGGTTCCCGCCCGCGCTGTCGCCCGCCACGACGATGTTCTCGGCGGGAATCTTCTCGACCTGGGTGAGGTACAGGAAGGCCGAGACCGCGTCGTGGAGCGCCGCGGGGAATGGGTGCTCGGGCGCAAGTCGGTATTCGCTGGAAGAACCGGCCAAGATTAGCAGGGATGCAGGAGGAAACCGTCAGATGCGAGGGATCGTACACGTTAAAGAACCGCAGCCCGATCGCCTTGACGAGCGGCGCGAGGAACTTGCGGTACCCGGAGACGTCGTTCATAATGTACGCGCCGCCGTGGAAGAAGAGCACGACGCGCCCGTCCTTCGGTTCACCGGGTTTGAACGACTTGAGCGCCATCCACTCGCCCGACACGTCCCACACGCGCGGCGCGTCGGCGGACGCATACTTGTCGTGGACGTATGGGTCAACGCGGACCACGGGCAGGTCGCCCGACGTCGGCGCGTCGCCAAGAGCGGCGGTCCAGCGTTTGGCCGTGTACGAAAAGCCGCGTGGCGGTGAGGCGTTGTCCTTTTGAAGCTCGCGCACGCCGTGGAGCGACAGGCCTTTGGCCGAGAGCAGAGTCTGCGCGCCACGGACGATGGCTTCCGTGGTCCGCGACCGGTGCGGGCGATCGGAACCCTTCAACAGCCCGCCAACCGCGGCGTTCGCGACGCGTGACAGGACGCGCAGCTTGAGCTTGAGCGGGAGGCTCTCCTCGTTGCTGGACATGGAGGCGTGCTGGTGCTTCTTGCGCTGGTTCTTCATGAGGATTGCATGTAGTCTAGCATGGAGGAGACGACATGGGAGGAAGCGGGGGAGCCACGTCGTGTTTTGAAGCGCGACTGCTTGCTGATGGCGGCGGCGTCGCCGCCTTCCGTACTCGCGTTTGCGCCCTTATAACCGAATCACATCCAGGATTATCGCGACCTTCGCCGAAAGCCATCTCCGCTTAAGCAATCCGAGTACATGGCGACGTTGACACTCCGTTAGTTTCGCACCTCGCGCTGAAAGGGCTTGGTGACTTCACGGATCGGTGCATGCTGTACTGCAGCTACTCGTTCGCATCCCGCAATCATGGATGGCGGCACATTTCCCGTGACACCGACTGATGTTAAGTGCTCACGGGTGCGTCTGGGCGTCGCGCTTCGCCTTGAAGCCGCCTTGGACAGACGGGTGGTCAACGGCAGGTGCGACGCGTCGTGTTTCAAGTTTGCGTGACTCCGCGTCGCGTCTCGCGCCTCACGGCCGACCGATCACCCTGTCCATCAACGCTCACATCCAAGCTCGC